GTGTGTGTCTGAGTGTGTGTGTGAGTGTGTGAGTGTGTGTGAGTGGGTGTGTGAGTGTACACCTGTGTGAGTGTGTGTGAGTGTGCGTGAGTGTGTGTGTAGTCCGGAAAAACAACCCCCTACCTCCTCGCGGTGCCGGACGGGCAACTCTGTCGTGGACAGCGCTGTGGGGGGAGGTCCAATTCCGATTGGCCTCTCCCCTCATGGCGTCTGTGACCACCACAGTGGCTAAACGGGGGCTCTGGACTGGTGCAAGGTGCTGGTAACCCCTCCACCTTCAATTAATTACCACTAAACCACGTCTAAAATATATAACTAAAAAGCTTGTGCCGGAGGCCCCGGGGGGCCAGGCGTCTATGACGTCTCCTGGCCAAACCCCAATTGGCGGAGCCAGGAGATTGAATCTCTACCCTCGGGGCTCCTCCAGAAACAACGAAAAGCCACTTCGTGTGGGCACGTGTAATGTTCGAACGCTCACTGCGGAGGAGAGGCTGCCAACTCCTCTGTCGGGAGCTGGACCGGTACCGCCTGGATCTCTGTGGCATTCAGGAGGTCCGGAGGACCGGTTCTGGCTCCTGCCACCATGAGGGGTGGACAGTCCTCTACTCGGGGCAGCAGACTGCCAAACAACAGGGTGTGGCTCTTCTTTTGAACAAAAAAATGAAGGGTGCGTGGGAGCGTGGCGGTGAGGTGTGGGAAGCTGTAAGCCCCAGGCTACTTTGGGCTCGCCGTCCCATCAACTGGAGGCGAGGAATGGTGGTCGTGGTTACTTATGCCCCCACCGAAGACGAACATCCGTGGAGGGATGCAGGCAAAGCCGATGAGTCAGATGCCTTCTATGACCTCCTGTCACAGGTGCTGGCTAAAGTGGCCCCACGGGATAGTCATCTTGTTGGGAGAATTCAATGCCCGAGTTGGTCATGATGCTGGCACCTGGTCTGGAGTGATTGGAGGGCATGGGCCAGATCAGCTTAATAACAACGGTAGGAGGCTGCTAGATTTTTGTGCAGCCCATGGGCTTGTAATTACCAACACGCCGTTCCAGCATCAGCGCATCCACACAACATCATGGATGCATGCCGGGTACAAGGAAGAACATCTGATGGACTACATAGTGACGGACCAGCGGATGCGAGCCCATGTCGTTGACACCAGGACCTACCGTGGAGCTGATCTGCCCTCTGACCATTGACTAGTCATTTGTAAGATGCGCCTGCCATTCTTCCACTCCGGTGATGGGTATACACCCAGGACACCATTCCAAACTAAAGTGGCCTGGTCTCAGTTATCTCATGAAAGTTGCAAGCAAGAATTTCATCATCGCTTGCAGCTGTGGTTGGCATCGTCCCCCACTCCTCCTGATGTCGAGGGTAAATGGGCGAGGTTTAGGACTGTGACTCATACAGCTGCAATGGTTGCTTTGGGTACGTGGTCCAGACCTCCCCACAGACCCTGGCTGACAGAGGAGTTGTTCAGGATGGTTGAGAAAAAGCGACAGGCCCACTGTCATCGGCTACAGAATCCCACGTCAGAGAATGAAGCGGCTTAATGCAGCCTTCGCTCGGAGGTTCGGACAGCCATGAGGCACTGCAAGGATGGGTGGTTGTCGCTGGTTGCTGAGGAGATGGAGTCTGCCTCAGTGGCCCGCGATCACAAATCTCTATTTAACTCCATGAAAAAAGTAACCTGCAGCGCCACACCTATTACCATCATTAGGGGGAAAAAACGGTGTTCCAATCTCCGACCCCCAGGAACAGGTTTGCAGCTTTGCTGAGCATTTCTGTGAGGTCCTGGGGGAGGGGAAACCCCTCAACCATCTGTTGAGGAAGTACTGAAGGCGATCCGGAGTCTGAGACCAGGAAAGGCAGCGGGCAGAGATGATCTCCCAAGCGAAATGCTGAGGGAGGGTGGCGTTTGTGCACAGACTGCCCTATATGACCTCATAACAACAGTATGGACCACTGGACGGGTTCTGCAGGATTGGAAGGATGCCCTAGTGGTCCCCCTCTTTAAGAAGAGGGACCGCACAGACTGTAACAACTAAAGGCGCATCTCAGTCCTCAGTGTGCCGGGAAAGGTCCTGGCAAGGATTATTCAACATCGCCTTGCCAGGCACGCTGAGGAGAGGCTTGCGGAGCCCCAATGCGGTTTCAGGAAAGGGCGGTCCTGCACAGATGCCATATTTTCTGTCCGTCTGCTACAGCAGAGGTGTAGGGAATTCCAACAAGACCTACATCTCTGCTTTATTGACCTGGTCAAGGCCTATGATACCATCAGTAGGCCTGGGCTCTGGGTCGTTCTTCGTGCTTTGGAGTACCTGACCCTCTGCTCACGATCATTAAGGACCTTCATGATGGTGAGCGGGCCTGGGTAAAACTACGTGGCCGGGAGTCAGAGCCATTCCCTGTACACCTTGGGGTGCGACAGGGATGTCCTCTGGCTCCCACATTATTTAACATCTATTTTGACCACATAGTTCGTGAAGCCTTCAATAGCTGTA